GGATGGCTGGCTCGTCGGGAAGACACTCGACAAGACGACGTCCCCGAACACCACCTTCAGCGCGCCTTCCCCCAACGCGCCGTCGCCCTCCGTCCCCCCGCCCGCGTCCTCCGCGTCCGCGCCGGTGCCACCGGACCCGAACGACCTCGACCCGAGCGACGACGAGGTCATGGTGCAGCACACGCTCGTGCAGAATCTCAAGCAGATGCGCATCAACCCGGGGAACATGCGCTTCTTCGGCAAGTCGAGCAGCGTGCTGTTCATCCAGACGGCGATGGACCTGAAGCAGGAGTACGCGGGAATGGAGGGGCGGCGCGCGCAGCTCGTTCAGCGTGATCTCGTCCCGACGCTCCTGCGCCGCCGCCCCCAGTACTGGGCATTCCAGCCGGTGCGCCTCGCGCGTTCAGCACGATGTCATTCGCACTAACACGGTCTGTGCCAGTGGCTGCGGTCGATCATCAACGAAGACCTTCCCCCGCACCGCGACTTTCCCGACGAAGACCTTCTTCCGGACCTCATCGACCTCTACTTTGCGCGCGTGAACGACTATATGCCCTTGCTGCATCGCCCGACGTTGGAGAACGGGATCAAGGAAGGGCTGCACCTCCGCGACGAGGGCTTCGGCTCGACGGTGTTGCTCGTCTGCGCGATTGGCGCGCGATATTCGAGTGACAAACGGGTCTTCCTTGAAGGCTACGACAACTCGCACACGTCTGGGTGGAAGTGGTTTAAGCAGGTACAAATGGTCCGCAAGTCGCTCCTCGCACCGCCGAGGCTGTATGATCTGCAGATCTATGTGGTCAGTCTCTGAAGATACGCCGGAATATCTGCAGCTGACTCGCTTGACGCTTCCTACAGCTGATGGCGATATTCCTGCATGGGACGTCGGCACCTCAGGCGTGCTGGACTATTATTGGGGTCGGCATCCGTCTAGCGCAGGACGTCGGTGCACATCGACGCAAAGTCTACAATCCCGTTCCGACAGCGGAAGAGGAGCTCTGGAAGCGCGCCTTTTGGTTTGATGTCTTTCATATTCATCCATATATCTTACTCATTTTTCTCTCAGGGTACTCGTGACGATGGACCGCTCGATCAGCTCTGCTCTTGGGCGACCGTGCGCAATTCAAGATGAAGAGTGAGCAGGCTCTTGTTAATATGCGGTAGATGTCAATCTGATGCGATATAGTTTCGACCTGGATCTCCCTATCGAATGCGATGACGAATATTGGTTCCATTCAGATCCTAAACAGGCTTTCAAGCAACCGCCAGGAAAGCCTTCCATTATCACATACTTCAACTGCTTCCTCCGGCTTAAGCAAATCCTTGCGTTTGCTCTTCGCACAATTGTAGGGGTTCACTACATGCGCTACGCCGGGATATGCTGACGCATTTCGGAACGTTTCTAGTATTCTATCAACAAATCGAAAGCACTTCTGGGGTTCGTCGGCCAGCAATGGGAACAGCACATTGTTGCCGAGCTAGACTCTGCCCTCAACAAATGGATAGATTCCGTTCCTGATCATTGTGCGTCGTTTATTCGCCCTCACCGTCCATCGTCCCTGTGCTCATCGTCACTGCTGTAGTACGGTGGGACCCGAATCGCGAGAACTTGACCTTTATGAACCAGTCCGCCCACCTCTACGCCACCTTCTACCAGCTCCAGATTTCCGTCCACCGGCCATTCATCCCCTCTCCCCGCAAGCCCTCACCATTATCCTTCCCCTCTCTCGCCATTTGCACCAACGCTGCACGATCATGCATCCACGTCCTAGACGTACAACACAAACGCGCAGGCGGCATTCCTATGCACCAGAATCAGGTAGGGCGCCATACCTATTCCAGCAGCCACATGCAATCGATGAAGTATTCACATTCTGACGCTTCCGTGACGCCCAGATGGCGCTCTTTACGGCTGGCATTGTATTGCTATTGAATATCTGGGGAGGTAAGCGCTCAGGCCAGGCGACGGACGCCTCCAAGGAGATGGCCGACGTGCACAAGTGCATGAAGATGCTCAAAGCCATGGAGCCTCGGTAAGGTCTACCAGTTATCCGCTTTCACCTCTCGCTCAACGGCATGGGCACACAGATGGTACACTGCAGGCCGCCTGTGGTGAGTTCAACCTCTCCCATTCCTTATGGCTTGTCGCTCAACACGTATTTCATATTAGGGACATCCTGTATGAGTTGGCGTCTGTTGGCGATCTTCCCCTCCCACAGCCCAGTCCGCCGAACCAGAATAAGCGGGAACGAGACGCGGACAGCCCGATATCGGCCGGATCTCCTGCCTCGCCAGCTGCATCCTCGTCGACGGCGTCAGAAGGCCCTCGCAACATTGCCGGCTCAAGACGAGTGTCAAAAGAGGTCAATTCATCAAACGCTCACCTCGCGCAGACACCGCAGACGCCTGCATCATCGCAGTACGGTCCGGCACCGTTCCCAGGCACCGTGCCGTCGAGGAACATGCAAAACACGCATACTTTCTCGCTGCCTACCCACAGCGACGAGCTCGGCCGGATGCCCCTCCATCCGGGCGTTTCCAATCCGTTTGACCCGAGCATAAACAACCTCTGGTTCGATGCAACTCAGCCGACTGGAACCATGCCTCCTCCGCCCGACCCACCACCCGTCGCAGGGCCATCTTCCATGCCCGCGCCTTCGATGGGCACGAATGACCAAGGCGGCTCGGTGTTCCACGACTTTTCCTTCCGCGCCAGCGGACCTTTCGACCCGTCCTTCATGTATATCCCCTCACTAGAAACGGCTGCCACGCCTTCTGCGAACGGGTTCCAGCCGCAGCTCCCGCTTGAGCAGCAGCCGCCGATGCAGCCTGGTACCATGCCGAATTCCATGCCGAGCGGACAAGGTCAATTCATGGACCCGACGTTCTCCGACAACGGCACGCTGGCAATGTGGTCGAACGCACCTTCCGGCTTCGAGTGAGTGGTCCCGTGAGCTGTCTCGCGAGATGCTTCTGACCCGCGGCTGTAGATGGGAAGACTGGGGGACATACATCACGAACGTCAGCGGCATGAATATGAATATGAACATGGACATGAACATGAACAATCCCATGGGCGACCCGAATGGCGGCGCAGGATAGGTGCGACGCACGAAGAAATGTAACGTTGTCTGTATCTCGCCCATCCATTGCATGTCCATGATACCACTGCTCTCGTTCTGATGCATCGATCGCTTTCTAATCTATTCTTAGCTCTAGTACTATATTCTCTGGGATCGTAGATGTTCAGTGCTATGGATCGGTCTCTCGCTACGTCTCATCCGCTACGTCGTCACGCAAGTTGCATGTATCGATAGTTGCACGTTCTGTCCCAGAGCCTGCAGGATTTACAAAGTTTCCACGACGTGGTCAGGATGCGTGATCGTCTTATTCACCGGAGGCAGAGGTGTCCAGCTGTGAAGCGCGCAAGTGAGTTCATGAAGATGGCTTACAATCTGATAGATGGTTCTTCGACAGCTTTATCTTTCGTTCATCACATCTTCATCTTCTGTTCGCAACTGTAACATTGACGATAGAAGGTGCGCACAATCAGCCTGATATCGGTCACGAGTGCTCTATAAATTACTCATGGATCGTTGAGAAGTAGATTAAGTTATGAGTCCACGGCGGGCCCGTCATGGACTCTGAGAGACAGATATGAACGAAGAAGTTCTATTCCACTCCACTCCGCTATTTCCACTCTGTGAATCCGCTACCCTCCTCCATCCATGGTTGACAGACGCTTGTCCTACGTTCGTTCAAGCCTCCTGTTCATCCGGCTCCTATTACTTCTCGGAGCGCGATGCGGAGGATCATGGAGTGATACAGGTCGAGTGCTGGCTGGAAGCGACAATGGAGGGGAACAGATCCGGGCCATATCACGATCATGCTCGAAGACATATCAAGTCTCGATGCCGAGTGCATCAGGACTGCGGTGTTATGCAGACAACAGGTGGTGTCAAGCTGCATTCAATGAATCAGCCTCGATCGATGATGTGGTATCAGCGCGCAGGCACTGACCAACTGGTGTTTGCGTTCACTGCTTGGATGACTTGCGCGAGGGCAGCATGGGTGCGGTACCACCGAAGCCGTACGAAGATGACAGCACTCCGAAGGCAGCCTCGTACTGCTTCGTCGTTGCAGTGCTACCCGCCGTCTCAAAGTGCGTGTCCGCAGCTTTGGAGGCCTTCGCGGGGGCTGGATACGTGGGTGCGGCGGACTTTTGGGCGGACGCCACAAGCGCAGACGAGTTTCCGTAGAAGGACTGTAGCTTGCCGAATGCGGAGAAAAAGTCCTTCCGCGTGCGCGACTGGGTGCGGGGGACGAGCGTCGAGGTGGATTTGCACGAGGATGCAGTGGTGACGGAGATCAGAGAGGGCGAGGACATGGTGCTCTGCATACTGGGTGCAAGGGAGGTTGATGCTGAAGTTGCTACTGAGGCTGGAATGTTGGGCGGGCTAGTAAGAACGATTTGGATGCGTCCATGGCCCGCCAGCACGATCTTTATACCTCTGCATCATGCTTCGGTGTGACATGGCAGTGAAGCTGCGGCTCGAGTGCGCAGTGCGAGTCAGCCCTCTTCATCGTGAACAGCCCGCAGCCGCACTGCAGCCATGATACCGATATCTGTCAACATGACTCGGACGCATTTCTAGCGCCTCTCAGCGTGCCTCGCTGCCTCCGTGCTGCGCGGGACCGGTCGCAGCCCATAGACGCGCTGGCTGCAGCTCCGACTCGCGTGAGTTTCAATGCGACAGGCAGTGACTCGAGATGCTGTGCTGATCCGGCGATCTGTCAGGAAGAGGCGGGTGCAATGCGCTCGACGTTTCGCGCTGATAAATCTGATACTCGAAGAGTTGGTGCGATGTTCTTGTGGGGTAGAATCAACTCGATCACTCTTGATTAGATTCGGTCAGCTGTCATTTCTTACTCTCTACTCGGTATGTTTAGAGTTTGGTACCGCTCATTTCATATTTTATACATGATTATGCGTTTACAAGTCCGATATGGTGTAACGGCTAACATTACCGCCTTTCACGTCCCCGGTCACGTGATGGGTTACGTAAGCTCGCGGTAGCTCGGGGTTCGATTCCCCGTATCGGAGTGGGATGTCTTTTTACTTTGGAATTTACTTATTTTGACTTTTTCAAGTTCACGCAAATGTTGTGCCATGAATTTAAAAGGATGGACCACTGTTGGCACAGCGGACGTGCACTGGTGTCCCAACTCTCCATTACCTATGAGTGGTTTTTCCATGTCACAGGACCTACGAACTACCTAGCCATTATGGCACTGTGGAGAATGACACACCATAACATGACTTTCGGATAGCCATTACATCACATTGAATTGGTGTACCTCTCAACTTCTGCATTTCAGCAAAGATCCCCAACTTCTACAAACAGATTTTCCACAACACATGTTCATCAAGAGCTACCGTCCCTGGTTTCGCGTCACTTTTCAAGACCGGGTCTCGGCTGGGAACGAATAGATGAGACCGGCGACAATTGAGAGTCGAAAAGAGTAATAGTATACGCCCTGACCGCGGTCGCCGTGACGTGTCCAATAGTGTGTACAAAACACGGCTACCAGCAGGCATAGTCTCCTCAGCTGCGATTGCGCTGTGTACGCCGCCGCACCTTCCGTCTATTCATCACGACCGCGGCCGTTCTGTGTAACGCTCGGTGCCTGTCCCGCGGCGCCCTCGTCGTCTACAGTCGTCAGTAGGCGGATACCATCTCCGAGCAGACCGCCTCGCTGTGCACTCGCTATGCTGGAGTCGTACACCTGACGCCCCACAGAAGCTGCTGCTCGAGGCTCTGCGACCGCTCCGTTTCAAGTATCTGGCGGCGCGTCGGGTGCGGTGTCACGGGCAGTGCAGACATAGGGAGGTTGTATGGGTAGGAAGGAAGTATAGGGGCAGCTGTGACAGCAGTCAGGTGCGGACGAACGATGAGCTCGGCGGGGAACGTGCCGCCGTCCGAGCTGCGCCCCGGCGCGGAGTCTGATGGTGCTGCGAGTTTGTGCTGCGTGGGTGAGCGAGTGAACCGGAACACGTTCTCGGGGCTCTCGTCCTCGTCCTCACTATCGCTGCTCTCCTCAGGCTCCTCCCCATGCGGATGCGCCCTGAGCTGGTACGTGCCATCCATGTATGGCGCCCGTGCTGGGGCCTGCGCAGCGAACGAAACAGTGGCGGAGCTCTTGCTCATAGTCAACCTGGGCTCCCGTTGCCCGAGCTGATTTGTGGGGAGCTTGCATTGATGCGCAAGAGGGACAGGCGCTGTCGCGACTCTCGTCGGCGGGCTGATTACGGCTTCGATGGGGGAGCGCGCTGCGCTCCGACTTGCATCTCTGCGCGAACTTCGTAAGCGCGGCATGTTTCTGCTGCGGGAGCGAGCGCGAGGTCTAGATCACATTCCAGGGAATCGGGCCCTCGCTGACCTGCTCTCCTCACGCTCCTCGTCTCGCGGGCGCGATTTTGCTCGGTATGCCCTGTCAGCGGGGGGTGCCTGCGCGATGGCATACGTGGTGAGTGGGACAACGGCAGAGCCCTTGTTTATGGTGAGCCCTGGGAAGGATCTGGCACTCTGTCTTCCAACTCGGGACTGAATGGAGATGCTGCGCTCCACTATTCTGCTTGTCATACCGTCCTTGTGGGCAGCATCGATACGGGCGGATGGCATCTCTGGGGGGACAAGCATGCCACCTACGAAACGAGAATGTGAGTACACGTTATCTAATATGTGGTGACGACTTACATCCATCCGGACATATTTCGATTTGAGAACACGCTCCTTGCAGGTACCGTGGGATATCCCCCGCAGTTTCACAATTCTACGAGACATGACGTCAGTCAGAGTCACAGAAAAAACAAACATACGAGCGCACTGAATACAAAACAGCTACATCTGCATCACTGGCAATCGCCATCGGAGTATCTGATTGCTAAGGCACATCGTATGACATTAACTATTCACGGTCTGCACTTTGAGAGATCCTGGCCTGCAGAATATACTCAAGGATATCGTCAACATGATCATTATACTGAAGAGATATGTTGAAGTGTTGTCCGCACCATTACAGTATATCTGAGACTTACTCTCATGGTCGGACCGTCCTCCACGATCTCTGCTTCCATGATGTCATCATTCTCCGATTGAAGCAGGAACGTCCGATCATCTTCGTGTCGAGACTTGTCGAATGGTGGCTCACAAGGCTCTGCAGCAGCCATCATGACTTTGGGACCAGTAAAAGTACGCGTCTTCAGCTTGTAGTAGTGTAGAAAACACGGATTGATCACGCGTCTCGCCATGAAAGGGTGTACAAGGCTCGTTGGCACGGTCCGGGATCGTGGCCTGGCTGCTTGTACCCGCCCGACGCGGCCCAGATCGTATCTCGGGAGTACGGCAGGTCTGAGTCGACGATGTCGCTGACAAGGACAACCCGGCCGAGCCATAGCCGAGACTGATATTGCCGGAATACGGGTCTGTGCTTTGGTGAAAGGCTGCAACTGCCCACGTACTCGTCTTGACTGTTCCGCGAATAAAGTAGATCTCATCTTGCTTGAGGTCATGTCCACGTACATCTCTGGCCAAGCGAAGCCAATGCTGGTAGTCCTTGCGCATATACTGGGGCATACAGAGATTAGGATGCACTTCGCGCCGCTCAGCATCGTCGCTCATGATGAGCATGGCACCCTGATCTCGTCTGGACGTATTGTCTAACGAGCATGTAATTCAGCCGGATAAAGACATGCGACCACGGAGCGACTTACGAAGCTTGGAGACCAGCCTCTACACATCTCGCCGTGATAGTCCGGCTACATAGCGCCGCGGCCTGGATTGCACACGCGTCGTAGTATTCCAGATCCTCTGTTGTAAGCGTCAGCTTTGTGAAGCAATCCGGCACGGTAAGCCCAAAATTCTTTGGATCGGTCGGCTCGCTCATGGTATTGAACAACCGAAAGAATGCTCCTCGATATATATAGCCTACATCGCCGATGTGAACTTTTCCGTGGGTTGTCGGTTCAGGGTCCCAGAGAGGTAGGCCTTGACCTAGGGACGACAGCTCCTGGATGTAGACCGCTTCTGAGGACTGCATAGCGGGACACAGAGTGCATTACTGATTCCGCTTCGTCGATAGAGAGACTATAAGCACGAGGAGAGCGTCGCCCCAGTCATAGTGGGCGTTAGCCTGCCCTCGACACAGCTTCCTCGACATTGCTTTGTCTCGAGGACCACAATGACTGCTCAGAGCCCACAGAGTGAATATAATAACTCAAGCTCGAAATCTGACGCGAGTGGGGACCCGCCAACATGATGTGACCAGACGAGGCCAAGTTGTCTGCTCCTCGGCACTTGCACGGCGTACTTAAGCGCGCATTGTCATACCCTCAAGCATGCATATCTGCTTGCGGCCTGTGCGAAATTACAGCACGAAATATGCTTCCGAGAAATTACAATTCACCTAGATACCTCCAGCAGTCGTCGGACCCGCACTGGCACATCGCATCACAGCATGCTCAATAACGATATCATGATCGTGGCAGACGCGCCTCACCCCGCGCAGGTACAGCAGAGATATTCCAGGCGCGATCCGTGCAAACAGCACCGAGCCGAGATCCCAAAGCCTCATCAATTCAGCATCCTTCAATATGTCGAGACTATATACTACGTTCGGGGGCTACTGATACACATTATACACAATGCGGGGTGCGTATGCGACGCGGTACGATGCGGAGATGCGAGCAGGGATGCAGGGGATGGATGGAGATGTGTGCGCGGACCAGCGATGCGCAAGATGTCGATAATGCGGATGCAGCGATCATGGGAACCTTCGCCGCCGGCAGGGGGGCGGGGCGCGCGCCAGCCAGCACGGCGGCACATGCATGAGACCTTCAACGAGACAAACCAAGAGACCGAGAAATAAGAAAACGAAAACAGGGATGATGATACACTCTGACCGCCTCACGTAACCAAGAACATACAGGACACATTTACCAGCCCGCGTAGTGGTAGTCGTCCGCCCAGCTGCGGTTGCGCTGTGCCCGCCGCCGCTGCTCCTCGTCCGTCTCCGCGCCGCCGCCACGACCGCTCTGCGTACCATTGGGTGCGGGGCCCGCGACGCCCTCGCCGTTCGCCGCCGTGAGGGGGCGGACGCCATTCCCGAGCACACCGCCGCGGCGCGGGCCAGTCATGTTGATCTTGCTCACCTGGCGCTCCCAGAGGAGCTGCCTGCGGAGGCTCTCGGACAGCTCCGTTGCGAGCATCTGGCGGCGCGTCGTGCGCGGCGTCATGGGCAGCGCGGGCGCAGGGAGGTTGTACGGGTGCGCGAGCGGGATCGGCGCGGTCGCGGCGGTCGTGAGCTGCGGGCGCACGATAGGCTCCGCGGGCGGTGCGCCGCGGTCCGAGTTGCGCCGCCGCGCGGGGTCCGCGAGCGCGGCGAGCTTCTGCTGCGCGAGCGAGCGCGAGACCTGGAGCGCGTTCTCGGGGCGCTCGCTCTCGCTGTCGCTGCTCTCCTCGAGCTCCTCGCCCTGCGGGCGCGCCTTGGGCCGGTACGCGCCGTTCGGCTTCTGCTGCGTGCGCGAGGGCGCGCCGTCCGTTGGCGGGGCCTGCGCGGTGACCTGTGCGGCGAGCGGGACGGCGGCGGAGCTCTTGCTCATGGTGAGCGCGGATAGCCCAGGGCTGTGTCGCGTGAGCTGTGTTATGTCCTGGCTCGAGTAGCTCGTGCGATACGGGTGATTTGGGGGGAAGATGCTCGGGTCGGGGTTCAGGAGCTGCGAGAGCAGGCCCGACCGCGAGCGGTTGAGGTCTGTATACGACCGCTTCGGGACCTTTGCAAACATATCCCTCTGACGCCGCGCCTCTTCCGCGGCCTCCTGCAGGCGCGCCTCCTCGCGCTTGCGGGTCTTGTTGGCCTCCTCGGTGACGTTCTCCTCTGACGCCCACTCCGAGTCGTCGTCCGTGTCCGTCGTCTCGTCGGACGACTCGAGCACGATACCGCGGCGTGCAGGCTGCGCAGGCTCCTGCGCGGGCTTCGGCGGACTCGCGCGGTGGGCTTTGTGCGCACCTGCCGCCTTCGCGTCCTTCTGCGCAGCAGCCTTCG